CCTATATTTGTACAGTGTATCTATAGTATTATCCATTCCAGAAGTCAAGACACTCGGTTGCTTTTTGAATAACTTTTGATACGAACAAGATGAAGACCTGCGGTTTTCGCCATTCGAAAGAGGAGACTTGGATGCATGTTTTCATATTCAGGTGACAAATATTGCCTCATTAAAATGTTTTCTCGTTTTTCTATCAAACTGACTCTATGTTGTTGTTCTTTTTCTACAGGTGCCTATCTAGAGATGGGCCGTAATATGTAAGCTTTGAAAGAACGAAACGAAAGATTATTTGTTATTCACTATAGCAAACTATGTTTCATTTATACACAAGTAAAGAATATTCGAATAATGAGTATATGAATACACATCAGAAAAACAATGAGAAAAGAGCTCAAACTTACGTAACAAACGTAACAGTAACGTCTCTTATATATATTGAACGAAGAAACGTAAGAGCCAATGAGAAGGGAAGAACTTAAGACAATAAAATTGAATATAACAAGTGAGGCTGTTTTGAGTTCTGATTCACAGTTATTTACAAATTACATAAAGGAGCTTTATTAAAGGGAATGTATGTACAGGAGAATTATTCAAATCCAGTTCATATTTTTATTTGTTAGACTTATATGGAAATGCCACATAACATATCCCGTATGAGGACATTTTTTCGTCTCAGAGTTCCGATACAAAAAAAAGAGAACAGAAAGCTATGCATATGCGAAAAGAGATATCTCCTTATTTGCTGGTTCTCTATACAGTTTGTCTTTTCCGAATAAGAACAAACGGAACTGAATAGTCTCTATTATTCGTATAATAAAGAAATGAAAAGAACGAAAATGAGAAAATCCATCCTTCTGTCGCTTTGTATACTTCACATTAAACGCATTCGTTCTATTCAAACAGCCCATCTCTATACCTATCGATATTTTTATCTATCATAATAACAACGCTTTAAGCGAACACAAAAAACATACAAAAAAAATGACTACCGATAACATCCAGTCAATTGCACAACTTTAATCGTTGTACAGAATATAGACACAAAACAGTGGATTTAGTTTTGCAGTTTACTGCAAAGTTATGTTCAGATGTTCAAATCTCGCACAAAATTAATTTGTGTTTTTCGATTGTTTTAGTTTAGAATACTATAATAGAATATTATTCCACTTGTATTTTGACAGAATAAAGCTTTATATTTCCAATAGACTACATGTGTATGACTCAAAACAAAATCATGTCGTTGCAGTATGGATGACTCATTTAACTCTACTTCCCTTATATTCTTCATTATTCGCAGGTGAATTAAAAGGTAATGTTTTTTTGAAATACAAAATCGAATACCATAACATTATTGTAATTATTAAAAATAAGCAAAATGTCATCGTTGCTTTGTTGTCTTCTGTACTGTATTAGCTTTTCATACAGTTTCTTTCTGTGATTTCTGAGATAAATGATTTAACTATTGTTAAATAGAATATAACAACCTAAAATTTTGACATTATTAATGGGTAATAGAAACGCAGGTAAACATCAAAAGTAGTCACTCTTATTACAAAGGTCCTGTTTTTTTATAGATCTAGCCTACTGGATCTTTTTCTTTTTATTAATTGCATTATAATACTTTGCAATATGTTAGTATTTTTATTACGTTACAATCCAATGAATTTCGATGTTTTATTACGTATTAGCGTAAAAATACCCACAAAGTGTTATTACAAACACTTTGCACAAGATTAAATCTCGCATATCTCAGATAAAATGCAATCTTTATCGAAGAAAGACAAAAGAGATCGATCCCTTAGATTAGGAATCATTTTGATAAAAAGAATCAATGCTCTCCTTATCAGAAGAAAGCTTACACATTAAATATCTCGTGAGCTTTTCAATTTTGTTTTCTTATATCTCCGCTAAGATTCAACTTTTCTTCCCTCAAAATCTTTTAGTTGACAATGTCCTGTGATACCATTCGCTAGCTCTCAAGAATAAAAATCGAATTATGTACATTGAATAGTATTATTACGTAGTAATTGGCTTGTGAAGCTGAAGAATGCTCAATAATACACTTTGTCAGAAGTTTCCATGGACGAAACTATAATTCGTAATAAAACGTGTGTAATCGGCATTAGAAAGGTGTCATTGAGTGTGTATACATTGATGTATTATAATTGTTTATTATCATTTTTTCAAGGGCGCTTTATCTGTCTTCATCGCACAATGGATTCGGAGATTTTTATTCCTTTCTTAGTGAAAACTCGTTTCCTAAGAAAAATGAAACTGACAGTCGAGACAATTAGCTTTTTATCATTATCTAGGCTACAAGAATTTGCTAATATAGCGGAAAAAGTTCACTTGAAAGTTGATTTTTTTACTTTTTGGGTATCGTTTCGCACGGAAAAAAACCACTCAAATATCTCAATAAACGAAAAAGTAGGGAGAATGATAGAAAAACGTAAACATATCAGCTAGATGTTCAGATGAATTTCTTATAAGATCTTATGAATTCTTCTATTATCTTATGACTTTCAGTAAGTTCTTATCACAAGGTTTTCTCAGATTTTGTATTACGTCGGGTTTCATTTTCTTATCTCATTTCAATTTGGTAGGAAAATATAATACATTGTAATCTATTAGATATCAACTGATTACAATATGATAGGCATTATCACATTTTAACGAATAAGTCACTAATGAGTTATGACCGATTTGGAGATCAAATATAATTTTTGTAGGAGATGTTTAACGCATCATAGCTCACGTCAATACAAAAATTAGATTTGATTATTTTTCATTAGTTTTTAATGATTTACAATGCCGCAGACTACATGTATCCGTTTTAAAACGGATATGAGAATAAAAGTATATACGAGAAAAAAAGTTCCCATGGGAAGAAGTTCATTCGTCGTCCGCGAAAGTGAAATGATGTTTTTTGTTTTAGTTATGATATTTCCTTATTTCATTTAGATTTCACTGAAGATACTCCCCCTCGTCCTCCTTCACAAGGTGGTACGTTTGTCACACATGTCTATCGAGAAATAAATCTCGACAATAGAATTATACCAATTGATAATATTCAATATCGTTTCAAACACGAACTGGGCAAAGGCGCGTATGGGTCGGTTCATTCAGCTGTTGCTTTACCATCTGGTGAGTCACATTTTTACGTACAATCGCTTCTCTAACCTACCTAATTTCCTAATCTTTTTTGGTAGGTCGAAAAGTGGCTGTTAAGGTTGTTAGTTTAGCAGCAGATCCTAGCGTATTATCGGCATTAGCCGAATCATATTTAAACGAAGTCGCAATGTCTAAGCGTTTGGCAAAAGAAACTCCTTACGTGGTCAAAATGTATAGCTTTGATTTCAGACACATTCAGCTAGGATGCCGAAGAAAAATGTCTCCTTCCCTTCTCTAGAAACTCATCAGCATAAGTGAGATTTTTAATTGTTTATCCATACCGACCCAGTCTTAGTTTGAAAAAGTAACGTAAAATTCTGTATAAACAGAACATAAAATCACGTAAACACGATTACTCATCCATTTCCAATATGGTATGATGACTAACAACATGAGAAAGTCTTCGGAGCAGCAGCAGAATGTAGTCGAGATCTTGGTTTTTCGAAAGAAATTCGGTTATAATTCATTCTATGAACCCTCATGCGTGTTAACTGATTTCAATCTCTCACTTTATTTTGCTCTTATAGGAGAACAACGACGATGAAACATTTGAACAACGAATTATCTTGTTAGAACGCCCAAGATTTGTATTATTATTAGATAGGAAAAGAAAGCTGAAACAATACAATACACAACGCTTTAACTCCTTTGTATATAATAGTTATTATCAGTAGTAAATGAATATTGCTCCCTAAACAAGTTTTATCTAGACAATGTTCTATCAATGAATGATGAACTGAAACGGAAATGTGGTAAGATTGCACGTTATCAATTAGATCGTTTTCTTCATAGTTGGAAAAATAATTGTCCTAATAAAACGAAGGAGAGAAGACATCCTCAGAGTAATGAGAGCTATAATGGATTGCAAAATACGTCTTCCTTACTTGCCATGAATTTTGTTCAAAATTGTCTTCTTCCACCTTTTCCTCTACTCCCAAATCGTCGAAAAGTGAATCCTCATCTTTTCTATTTAATTCAAGAGAAATCTCTTCTAATATCTAAAAAACAGATCTAAACTCGATTCGGTGCGAGGATCGAATCATACTGCAGGTCTATACCATTGACATTCTTTTGTACATTGTCTACATTCAGCTAAACGAATATCATCGAGAGTAGAAGGATGGGGGAAAATCTGGGATACAAAATAATCGTTGATTAAGAGTGATCAACAGACGATTTAGGTTATTGATCAATAAATAATAGTAAGCAACAAGGATAAAGATACGTAAAAAGCAAACGCTACGAACAAATCATGATGTTACAACCAACACATAAAGTCCCAAAACTCTGTTGATTGTGAACCCTTACTTTTCGATGTAGCTTGGTCCAAAGAAAGTACGTTCTGCAGGCTTCAGTATTCTGTTATTGGCGCTTTCTTAAGCGTCAATAAGTCTGGTAAACTTTCCTGTTCATGATACAAGCTTTGAAATTACGATCTTAATTGTTGGGTTATGGAGATTCTCTGTCAGTTTTTTTAACTTTCGGAGGATGAGGACGTCTCTACGGAATTTACCCTTCGATAGCCAAACAGCGTTAGCGTTTATGGTTATGGAACTTGGGGGTGATAATTTAGAAGAGCATTGTAAAAAATTAAATGAGATAGTCAATGAACGTACCAGATCAAAAGAACGTCATCATGCACGAAAGTCACTAAGAGGAGAATATATTCCTGATAAAAATCGAAAAGAAATTTGGAAACAATTGGTCAGTATTTTAAATACATTACGTAAATATAACATAGTGAGTAATAGAACTGAGAAGTTAAACAATACATTTTTTAGTATCATCTACTTAAGGTTCATCTCGATTTAAAGCCAATGAATTTGGTGTTTTTTGGACCATATATGAAACTTGTCGATCTTGGAATTGCAAAAAAAACAAACACTATATGGTGTGTTATGCACAAAACAACTTAAAAGTTCCCTAATTTCTAGCAATATTCGGTTACTTTTTCTGAAAATTGTTCATATTGCGGTATCGACATATTAATGTAAATACCGGGACATGCTACACTCACTTCCGCTTTTTGAACGTTTTCATTTTTTTTAAACCACATAGAATTGAATAATATTTGTTTCTATCATCAACCTTTTTCTGGTTTGCCCATGTCAGTAATATACAGATATACTCCGCATTAAAAAATAAATATAACTATATTGTATGTTGTTTTATTTAGCCATGGACGAGCTGGTACAGAAGGTTACACTGCTCCCGAAGTCTTTTTTGCGCCACCTGGTACCAGTCTTGTTACAAACTTCAAAGCCGATATATGGTCAGCTGGAGCCATACTTTACTATATGACCTATGGTTTACCACCAAGATCTCCACCTGCAGCTCCGTATGCCCCGCCACCGGGATTAACTCCCACGAGAGATCAAGGTGTGATAGATATTCTACGTCATTGTTTACATCGTGATTCAAACATGAGACCAGATCCTGTCTGGTTACGCAATCATCCATACACACATAGTCAAGCCAATTAGAGCTTAACTGGCTGATGTTTTAAAACGTGAACGACGAATAAAAATCTTTGTATTTTATATTAGATCGATATCAATTGTGATAATAGGCAGTTATACAATACAAATACTTTTTTTTATACTCATCGTATTTTGCTATTGTATGAGAAACAGTTTTGATTGAACGTAAAGTTTTGATTCTTGGAAAAAACACGATTCATTGTTCGTTTACTCTCTTTCTGTCAATATCGTCATATTTTCAAAGACATATTCTCAAATTTTGTGCACAATTTGAACCATGTTTTACTCAGATTTTAATCGTATGGTTCAATAATCGAAGTAATCTCTTTACAAAATTCTATAATAAATTAACGGTAATCTCAAAATCAATAAGTGCTGGAAATAGTGCACTTTAAATGTTGTTTATATCACCAGATTTTTCTAATCCTAAATGCATGTATCATAAGGGTAAATATGTTTATTGTTCTCTGATACTCTTGAGAGCAAGGATTATTAAGATTGGTGTAATTTAAATATTGTCGAAACGTAATGTGACAAATATATATCAGCTGTAATAGTAAGATTGAATAGTGAACAACAAACACATACCTTAAATAATAAAAATTAATTCCATATAGTATCCATATATCGGTTAGATTATAGGATTACTGAATTCTGTCGACATATAAAACTATTTTATTATCCAGTAAAGATTCTCAACAATATGTATCAGCATACCGATTCTAATCTTCCGACGTATCGATTAGTTTGTGGATGCTTTATTACGATTAATATGAAATACATACAATAAATGTAACTATTATACACAGTGATTGCCAATGAAAAATTACTTCCAAATGCTCAAAAAATATCTGAAAATATTTAAGTCTAAAATTGCACTTAAGTACAAGAGGGCCTATCCTCTTTACAAATACAAATATTTGTGTCTACTCATGTTTGTTCTATTTCTTGGATGCAATTTGAAAAAGTTCTTCATACCATGAGCTGAGATGGGTAAGCGTATAGGAAGCTAAAAATGTTTAATGTATGACGATCGAACTGGATGCTATTGATCCGGAAAAGATTTTAATACGAAAGTCCAAATACAGGGTGTCCCAAAAATCTGCCGGGAAAAAAAACGTGAATATTTTCGTCATTTCTTAATTAAACTTCAAGGTTGCTGGATAGAGGAACGTTCCAAGTTTTATTCGATATATTTAGAAAATTTTTGTTAATGCTTGAAAAAATATTTGGGTTTATTATGGTGAAATTCAGATTTTTTGAAACTCTTTTTAAATAAATCACGTACCTAGGTCATACTAACAGTATTGGCATTTGCAGATAAAACACCACAGAATAGAGTTAATCAAGACTTTACTTCAGCAATTGATCTAGTAGGCATGATTACTCACGTACAGTCACTTTGTTTCAAGGCATTTGTTGGAAGTTTCTTTTGAATCATCTTTGAGTAAAAAATTCATCATTTTGATTACGGCACTTAAGGCCATGATTAGATGCCATTTGATTGATTAAGCTTATCAATTAGATACAGCCTATCCTCTTTGCGTATTTGTCTATTTTTTGAGACTATTCAACTACTTGCTTAAAGAAAAGACACGAAACAACGTTTGGAACTAATTTGCTACGTCAAACTATAGCAGGTACAGATGCTTTGCTTATAATCCTTTTGCTTCAAGGTCACAAATCTAGTACTTGTCACCTACTACCGCTTCATGTATTCGTCATATTTCTTTAGTTGGCCATGTCCAACAAAATTTAATAGATCAAAATAGTTCCTAATCATGGCATTGATTACCGTAACCAAGATAATGAATTTTTCAGTCAAAAATGATTCGATAAAACTTCCAACAAATGCGTTGAAACAAAGTGACTGTGTGTGAGTAATCATGTCTACTAGGTCAAATACTTGCTGAAGTAAAGTTTTAATTAACTCTATTCTGTGGCGTTTTATCTGCAAATGCCAGTACTTTTGATTTGACCTAAGTACTGCAAAAAAATTTTGTATGAAACATAAATAATTTTTAATATTAAAACAAAGTAGATCATGTCCTCCTTCACATAACAAAGTAATTATTTGCTTTTGTTTAGAAATGACTGGATGGTGTGAATTTCTTCGGTCATGATTGTGCCATACTAGCAGCTGGGAAACTGCAAAAAAGTAATAAAAAGTTTTTTCAGAAAAAGTTAACTAATAAAAGGAAAAACTGCTGGTGGAATTCCATGCAAAGTAGTCCCGCAAAGTGGAATAGTATGAAAGTCTGTGAAAAGTTGTATGAGGCTATTGCAGCAGTCGAAATTCGCAGATCACGTTAATATAGAGAAATTGTTTTCTTTTGGCAAAACTTTAAGTTGAACAAAACATTTGAATATGTGGTATTGCAGAGCAATCGGAGTTCTACAAAATGAGACATAGTACGACTCTCGCAAAGATTTCGTTCAATTGCGACAATATCAACAGTCTTTACTCACTATTGTAAGTATATATTGTGTTTTGTCACAACATTTCAGCATTTTTTTCAATACTAGTACTGCTTTTTTTCCTTTCTCATAGTTACCACTCTTATCCGTCAGAAGGCAACTATAACATGCGTTAGGTCTATGTCTACTTTGAATTTTGTGATGTATATCCAAAAATGATAGTAAACGATAAAATTAGCAGTTATTGTTAATGAATTTTGTTCACAGTTAAAAAAGATCTTGATAGACACTCTAAAAAAGATTTTTAACGTAACAAGCCAATCGTAGAATCCCGTTGAATCGTATAATAGAATATCTTCTAGCAGTTCTATAAAATTAAATTATTCCTTACAACAGAATCATAATCGATCCAGTGAGATTCCACGTAGAAATGTCAGCATTAAACATTATAGGATTTTATAAGATTTCTATAGAATTCTTATGTGATTCACATAGAAATCCTGTAGGATTCTTGAATGGTAAGACTGAGTACAATAGTTTTTCTAATGATTATCAATTGTTGATCAGAAAATGGATATTTTGAACCCTATAACCTGTACACGTATGTATATTACTTAATTCAGAATTAATAAATATAAAAAAAATTGAACAGATGTTTTTCTATAGAACAAAGAAAAATATACAAAAAATAAACTATCCGTATAAAATAAGTTTAAATGCTATATGATTGATAATTAATTATTTATTGTCGTTTTATTTCTCTTATTCCTAAACTCGCATTCGGAACTAAACCACATTGTTCAAGTGTCTTATCACAATTTAAATAAAATGTTTTTGTACCCATTTGAAATAAATCGAAATCATATGATAATTTTCTGAAAAAAAAAGAAAATAATAAAAAAGAAAATTTTATCATAGACAATAAATCAGTTTCTTTTATCTTTCACTTACTTTTTCTTTGTAATTATATTTTTAACATCTTCAATCGTTGAAGTTATTTTCATTTTAATCACATAACTCTGTTGTCCATCAGCCGATCGTATACGTAACGTTGTTATTGGTGTTGTTGTACCATCAAATTCACTTTTTGCACTAAAATTTAAAATAAAATCAATAATTAATTAATATTATAAAAGAAATTTTCTCTAAATACCTTTCACATCTATCTGATGTATCTACTTGGTTCTGTTGATTACCCTAGAATAAAAATCAAAATATTAACTCTAAACACAAAAATAGTCAAGTCACTAACGTAAATTTGTTCTTTTATATCATTCCGGATATCAATAACATTTCCATTTTTGATAACGGATTGAGGTAGACGATTTAAAAATCGTTCTACTGATACTTTTGGACCTACGACAAGAGAAAACGAGATGATTTTAAAATATTAGAAAGATTTAAATCACTAACGATTATCTTGTGTCTCCACTTTTGCACCATTTGGTAATATCATTTCAGGAGGTTTTTCAATAGATGGTACAATTCGTCCATCGTCTAAAACATGACCCTCACCTTGGAATGCCCGCTGTTGTTTATCTTTATAATATATTTCACGTCTATCATTCACCTAATACAAAGAACAATGTCTATTTTTTCTCAATCAAATAAAAGAGAAATAGTGAAACTTACTCTAAATGGAACACCATCGGGATAACGCGTTTGCAATTCACTAGGAAAATAACCGTCGGTTAAATCTTTGATAAATTGTTTTGTTAACAGATCATTAAATGAACGAAATGGTCCATTAAATAAAAATATTCCATTGGCATAAAGTGTTAAATCAACAGGATCTACACGTTTTAGTGTTTTGATGTTGTGTGTGTCTTTGTTATTATTATTAAATCTTGTTTCACTTTCTCCTGCTAATACATTTAATTCACGAATACTTTCAATAATAGCATTATAATCGATTGGTATCGGCAACGATTGTGGTAATACTGATTCATCTAAAGAGAAAAAGAGCAAACATGATGTTTATTTTTTTTTGAAAAAAATATGCAGAAACTAACCTGGATTCCATGTTTTGGGTGATGAAGATACAGCAGCATCAGCCTCGTCGAATGTTAGAATATTTATATTGTCCGGTTCATTCGATTCACCAACTACTTCTAATCCGCGTTCAATGAGCAAATCCTACTAGAAATTAAAAGGAGGCATATATATATTATAGCATAGATTCAATCAAATATTCGTAATGAATATCACACGGCTAACTTTATCATACAGACCTCCATTCGATCGATAATTGATTGTAATCGAACACATTTCTGTTCAAGAATTTGCACTTTGTGTGAATCATCGCCATTTTTTCGTTGATTTTCTAAAAGAGATATAAATTCTATATAAAAATTTAAAATTAAAATTTTCTATCATTATCTTACTCAGTGCTTTTTCGTATAAACTCAATTTATCTTGTAATACGGCAACTCGTTGATCCTAGAAATATTTTTAAAAAGTTCAGAATCGATCGGGAAAACTTAATGAGATATTCTACCTTTTCTTTGATTTGACTGGATAAATATCTGACATCTGCTTCAGCTTTTTGCATTCGTTGCATTGTAAGTTGTAATAAATCCAAATCTGTTGGTGCTAAAATACAGAATCTAACGTTTTAAAAACTGAAAAAATTTCAGACTAGTGATTAACAAACCTCTAATTCGACTATCTGAGCTATTCTGGCTTAATGGAACGCCTGGAAGACGTCCCACGTTATTTGCTTTTATATTATCTGTCGCCATTCTGGTTGTTATTTCGTTCATTAATTTTGCTTCATCGCCTATAGCACATGAACGAATCAATGTTTAAGTAAGAAAACAAGCTAAAGCTAAGACACTTACAAGAAAAACGATAACCCACAGACTCTTTAATTGGTTCACGTGGACTATTTCCTTCAGCTAACGATGGATTTGCTAGCACGGGAAGTTTGGGATATTTGCTTAATGTTGTAAATGGGGAAGACATTGTTATATAGAAAAATGCGTATAAAACTGTATCAAGAGGCGACTTATATCAACGTCCTTTTGAATTAATTCCGCTTAGGTCTTCCTTTTTACTTTACATGCTTACTTGCATCGTTACCTGTATCACCATGCCGTTAACCATCCAATGTGACTTAATATCTAAATTTTATCATTTATTAAAATATTAACATCCTGCGTATAACAACATGGAAGCGGAACATTTCAGAAGTGAAAACTTTTTATTCTTTGATAAAGTCTATAAAAAGATGTCGCTACCTGTTCGCCATACAAACAAAGAGCACACAAGTCAACGAAGTTAATGACTTCGTGTACTATGCATACACGTACTAACATTAAAAATACTATAGACTTTAATAACAACATTTCAATAATGATAAACCGCATCCTCCTAATATTCGTCGACACTCTGGCTGTAGAAACAATTAAATATACTGTCAGAAAAGTGAAGTGACTGAATGGCTGAATAAGACGGTTCAAATGACTGATTCAGTCGTTTTAGCAAAGATTTTTGTGGATGAAACGACTGACTCAGTCACATAAGGGAACATACGGTATATGTACTGTGGATGAACTTAAACATTTCTAAGGTGCATAAGACAGCGCTGTAAAGCAGAACTTCTATTAGTCTTCTGGTTTTCTTTACAAAATTGAAAGGTTTCTTATGTTTGTAACTTGAAGGAAGCCTTTTATTACCTGTTTTCCGTGGAGCTTTAATGTACGAGCATAGTTACGTTTTTCAAGTATCTGACCCTTCCACTGTTACATTGTGGATTTTGTGCAACATGGTTGACTAGGATGTTACTTATTTTTTAGAAGATGAAAATCTATGTTGATTTTGGTGAAAAAGCAACAACTATTATTCCAGCTACAAAAAATGCTACCGAAATACTTGAGAAAATCAAATCAGTTCTTCAACCAGCCGCTGATTTGCTAGTGACTTATTATGACGACGATATTAAAAAACATTGTATTTTTCATAGTTATGAACAAATTGAAAATCAACAGATTGTGGCAATGGAAGTAAAGTTGTCTAGTATATCCAGAACAGATGAAACATCAAAAGTTAATGATAATATGTTGATTGATGTAACTGAAGAACAACTAACTGCTGAGCCATCTAAGATTGTTATTTTGATCACAAGTTTTTTTTCGCTTAAAACGACTTTTTATTACACATTATACTTGTTTTACATCTCGATTATTCGAAGGACAAGAACCTTAGAATAGTTGAGATAATGACATCAGCCTATTTCAAATGCATGTTTGATTCAGTGCTGCACTTAAATTTACTCGACCTTTTATGAAATAACATAAAAAGAACTTTTCCTTCTCAAGAACAAACATTTGACAGCGCAAGGATGGACACATAAACCTGGCTAATGTTTTCAACGTGTAAGAAAGTTATCTAACGAAGAAATTACAGTGGTGGCAAAAATTTTCCGTGCACACCAAATTTATTTTTGCTGATCATAAATCGGTAACGAAAAAAGCTTTTGACAAGTGGTTTGCATCAAACTATTGTCTGCTGTCTCTAGTGTATTTTCAGATAAAAGTTCTTTTACTTCTACTTCTTCTTTCACTTCTAAGTTACAAATATTCATTGTTACTCGTTGTAGACGGATTAGACTAAAAAGAGAACTTTTCCATGTTATGTCGACAAAAATTTTTCGTATAGTTCATAAAAATCTTGTTTTACGTTATATAAGTAATGAAAAAATATGGAAACTGCATCAATCGATAGAAGAGAGCGCCAGCTACACTTCGATAAAACAGAGATGAATTTTGAAGTGTTTTTCTTTAGGGTGAAAACGCACTGTAAGCTAAAAGTACCGTACTATTCAGTTTGACTGATGCTTAATCTGGGTGAAAAAATCTTACCTTTATTGACTAATATGATTAAAAGAAAAAATCTAGGGTGTACGGAATTTTTTTGCCGACACTGTGGATGTAAAGTTGGGATAAGAATAAATAACAGTAGAATGGAAGAGAAGTACAAATGTAAAGATGTGTGTATGTCCCATATTAATGATATAATAAAGAAAAATGCATAATCATTCTGCATAAATTTTAGGGCGAATAAACTGAAATCAAATAACCTATCACCCCGGATGTTAACCAACGTTTCTGAAATACTTTCAGCCACATTAAGCAAGCGTAAACCATCACAACCCTAGGTCATTTATACTGGTCCATTAATCAAAATCTGGCATTAACACTATTTTTGAGGAAGGAAGTCCAATGTGTTAACGTTGAAAAAAGTGTAAACAGACCGTTTTTTATCATAAAACGTCTTAAAACTGCTCATAAATTCCATTTTGAAAACCATTGCATTCTTAGACATTTTAGAAAATATTGTTTGTAACAAACCAAGCGAAGTCGAAGAAAAACACCATATTCTTCTCACTGATACATTAATGAGACGTTTATTTGCTCAGTCAATACTATGTGTATTTTCATCTCACGGATTGTTTTTAAAAATGTAGTGAATATTTGCACTAACAATTTGAATAATGTTTTATCAGTTGTGGTTAAGTTTATTATTCAACCATGAACAATACGTGCTTCAATGTATTTTAGTCATAAACAAGATTTACTCAAGATGTTCTGATAACTTATAGTTTGTACATATAGAAAGACAAACAGTTGCGATTATAAATTTTGTACCAAAAAGTGTTCAAAAGCGAGAATTTTTTCTATTCTCTTCTCTAAAGCATAGATGTATAGAAAAGTATGACCGTTGGAAAAGTAGACGGCTATATGATCTCTATAATTTTTTCTCTTCCGTTCTGTTCTTCTGCGACGATGGGAACAAAGAATTTGAATATGATCCCCTCTCACTTCATAAATCATTGATACATTTTGAACGTTCTTGTAAATAGTATCGAAGTTCGCACATACGTTTGAGACGATACACACTCGCACACATACATTAAACAACGATTACAGCACGTACATAGAGAGAATGCGTCTATAATTTAAGAGATAGAAATCACAATTTTTTCATATTTAAAAGACCAAAGACTCAAAATTTGCTAATTTCGTTACACTCATTGATTAAACCGGCAACCACAATCGAGTTTATGATGATGGTAAGACAATTAGATGATTTTTTTTCTTTTATTCAAGTGAACAACTTTCTTTGTTTCTCAAGTGAACAATAAGAAAACGGTTTTATTTGATGTAAGTTTATTAATGATCAAAAGACAGTAAAAAATATACACCTTGCGTAATAATTAATGATGAAGGAAACTGTTTGAAATTAAATCTGATAGAGATTGACACATATTTTCCAAAAAAATAAAGAAGATACATTTAGGAAGAGAAATATGAAATTTGTAGAAGAAAAGGTATGATTTTTATAGATTTTCTAAACCATTCTCTATTCTAACCAGTTTATATTTGACAGTAGAAGATTCCTTTAATCTAGTCAAATAAAAGTTTAGTTGACGGGTGAGATTTGTTGAAAACGAAAAATGCTGTTGACGAAAACTTTTATTGATATCAAAATCAAAAATTCTAACCTTCTCTAATAGAGATACTCTTTTCTGTACTCTCATGCAAGTGCACGAGACACACTTTTCCTTTGCCTATAACAGATTAGAGTCGGTATATAATTTTCAATTTTCATTTTGATTATATAATACCTTTTCACTAACTGATTAATCATCATTAGATAGAAATAAGCAAAATCATGTCCATTGCGGAAGAGTAATTATCTGAAGAGTTGAACAGTTGTAAAATAGTCGGTTTTATAACAATAATATTATAACTACATTAATCATGAAATGAATGAACGTACAGGTAATGAACTGTCGAACGTGTGACAACATTCTCTAGTTAAGTACCCTATATTTTTATTGAATAAATTTATAAATGTGCAATTGAAATAAAAATAATATAAAAAAACAACATTCTGCAGATTTTTTCACACACCTTCTAAAGAGGAACAGTAGGAGAAGTTATCAATTAAGAGCGAAATGATATAGTTGATAGATAATCGTAAACAGAAACATGTACTAATTGCGTACAACGTGTTATTTTATAATATATATCTCGACATATCGTGTACAGTTAAGTCATTTACTTATTTTCAGAAATGTCTACATTTCTAAATACATCGTTCGGTAAGTTTTTATTTCCGTCTTTTTTTGTACGCGAAAGACATCTTTTTTTGATACGCTAATTCGAAGTTTTGTGAATAGCTTTAGCTATTAATTACAATGTGTACTTGTGTTATATGCATAGATTAATCACTGTTGTCTCCAAGATTGTGTTTTTCATTTTTCAACAGACCTTTTATGTATACTTTTTCGACAGCATTTTTCTTAACGTGTTAAAAATAAAAAACACAATCGGAGAAGAAGTGAACCTCAGAGATGGAAGATAATCTGTTTATAACGCCAAGTAGGACATATGTTCTTTTAATATACATGATCATAATTGTTTCGCATGCTTTACACAAAATATGAATAGTTCGAAAATGGTAAAGTAAACTGAAGTAGTCGCTTATCCCAAAGGTTTGTTATGTCTGTAATGTGTATTACACGTTATAAACGTTTTATATTTCGGCAATATATAGCTCTAGATGTCTAGGCTTAATTTTTAAACTCTGATACAGCATCTGACGAAGAAAGCCCTCAATTAGTGTTGACTTTATAAAGAATAGGCCAAATATGTTTAGAAAGTATTAGAACGAATTCTACTTTGTTCACGTAGATGGTACTCCGTCGAAATACTTATCTTTAGAAGAATGAGTTTTCATGATGCTTATCAGAAATCAGTTTATTTGAATTCAGTCAATTAGTTCTTTGTCTCCTGCGTTTGTCAGTTAAAACGTTTTTATGTTCTAATTTTAGTTCAAATGATCCGTTCTCCATTAAAATCATTAACACCCAATTCAAAAACTTCATCAAAACGTGTAAAATCAAATTATTCTGAATTTTCATCACCAAATTTCAAATCATTCATTAAACAAACCATTCAAAAACCAAATAATTACGTCGAAGATTTTGATGATTCAATAATAAGTTCAAGTACCGATTCATTTTCATCACATCATTACAATTATTCATCGATCAAAAAACAAAATCTAATTTATCGACAACCGGTAGTGAATAATAATAATTTATATAGATCACAAGAATTTCCAACAGCTAATTCTATGATGTATGAAGAAGAAAAACCAAATAATAGAGAATCGTCTTTACAATTTAATAAAGGTATATTTACCAAAGATTGGCCTTTCTTTCAATGCGAATTGCATTGAGTTTGTCAAATATTTTTAGGAAAAGAACGACTTTTAGATTAAACTACACTGACTATAATATATTGTCGTTTTTTTTCTATTGTAGGAATAATTCAGTTGAGTCTCGTAGCAAATGAAAATCTATTGACGTTGCATAGTAAGTATCATGTGTGAGAATATCTAAATATTGACACATACATGATGTACATGTATTTTAGTTGTACAAGTGAAAAATATTGAAACAAAACGTAGTTTACGATATTCAAATATCCTCGTTAAAATTACGATTATTCCTGATGAAAAACCGTTGGAATGTAATACACGTGTTATTCCCAATTTGAATAATAATCCAACATTTAATGAAAAATTTTCTTTCGAATTAACTGATGATGATTCAAAAAAACGTATTTGTTTATCTGTTTACGAGTATAATGAAAATGATAGGTAAATTCTGACGAATTACTGCGTTTAACAAAGTATCATTACAAATTTGTACAATTTTTTAGTGCTACCCAACTGCATGGATGTTTATCGTTTGGGATAAAAAATTTGTTAAAAAAACAAAAAGTAAGTCTTTTTTATCTTATGGATTATCAACTTCATATCTTAATCGTTTAAGGTTCGTGGTTGGTTTTATTTGTTACAAGATGATGTGGGAATATTTCGTCATAGAAAAGTTATTGAACATGTCGAAAAACATGTATCAACAATAAATCGAGATGTTTTAAATATGGAAGAACTTCAAATTACTGTACCACGTGGTCAAGAAAGTTTTGGTTTTACAGTGGTTGGTCAATGTCCGACTTTTGTTGGTCGCGTTGATAGTGATAGTCCTGCTGCTCTATGTGGCTTGAGAGCAGGAGATTATATTGTGAAAATAAATGGAAAGAACGTCTCACGAGCACAAAAAGATACGGTATCGCATTTAATCAAGTAAGTCTCCACATTTGTTTGACATGGGCTGTTTTAATGGAATAGTTCCTACTTGTAGCATCTACTTGAGTGTATTTTTTGTCACTTTCTAGAAATTTACGAAAAGCCGTTACGCTCGACATTCACCGTCCATCATCATCGATTTCTACAAATTCGAATCGTGATTTATTATCGTTACTATCATCAACGGGAACCGCCTCTGCCTCAACGGAATCATCTACCTGCTCTGAATCATCATATTCCCGTTCTTTGTCGTCGTATGTTAGTGATCGATATCATCAACATAAACAGTCACATGTACAAACACAAAAACGTGCATTTGTTTCCTTAGGTCAATTAGGTCATTACGTTGAACGAAAACCTTTAAATAAACCGTCCACTCAAGCAATATTCGAAACAAATAATTCATCAATTTTGGCTCATAAAGGTTCTCCCACAGTTACATTGGTTTAATTTGCCTTTTCTTTAGTTGTTTATTTATCGTCTTTTATTTAATAGTAATATTGAAATTAGAGATAGTTTTGAGTGTTGTGTTGTATTTGTTGTTGTTTTTCCGTCATACAAAAATTTAAATTGTTGTTCTGTAGATAATGTATAGCAAAAAAATGTAATGTTATTAAAATTCTGAAGAAGAACATGATTTTTTATGCTGAAATAAACGCAGAAGATGTGAGTGAAACGTGTCAGAAATGAAGAATATACAAGACTATTGATTATTGTCTATGAAAGGTTTGGTTTACTTTTAAAATTCATTTCGTCGATTCAACATTAAGAATAAGTTTAGCTGACGTCGATTTACGTGGTGGAGGACGTTTACTTAGTCAAATAGCATGGCAGTCAGTTTCTTGTCGAAAATCTGAAACTACTTATTTATCAGCCGGACTACATACTGTTGATGTGGTCGTTAGAATGGAAAAACTTTACTAGTTTATGGCGATGAATTACAGGTTGAATTGACACAATATGATTCGGATGACGGTACCAAACTACCTATACTTATATGAGCACTAGTTCACATTAACACTAATGAAACTTTATTTTTTTTGCGCATTTTTAACAGTGTTATGAATAAATAAACGAATAAATCTAAACTTTTTTGAAGGTCTGATGGTCTTACCATCTTTTCTAGGTCATCTTCAGAAAAATCTGTGGTTTTAAGACCCTGATTTGTGTTAGAAAGAATAGCATTCAGCATGCCGAATTAACAAACAAGTCGGATATTCCGGCTTTTTTGAACATCGTGGTTTTTTCGTGCTTGTTGTCGACGTTATAAAACGATTTTGGAAAGTTGAAACACATTTTCTTAATCAGCTATAGGACTCACGAGGGAATCTCTCGAGATGATTAATCGCTTTTGAGCCGATATTTTGCGCACACGTAGGGAATCTCTAGACTAGAATAATCCTGAGTTGGTTCGGTTGTCTGAGCTTCTGGAGTCGAGTTATGAATTTTCCATTTTTTTGAAATAAACGCAACAGGCTCACTGAATTCATATAATATCTACCATGGTATACAGAAGTATCGGCGCAAAAAACGAGATATATCTCACTAATAGAACTCGGCGAGCTGAATCCAATAGCAAAAATCGCAGCTCTCCATTTCTGTAGGAAAAATGGTTATGACTAATTTATCCTTCCAGCGGAAATCACTGTTTTCCAGCGGATTTGACTTAATTTATAAAACTTGTCCAAACTGCAGGTCCTAACGCAGAACATTGAATTTGGTCTCAAATGAAGGAGTTCGTTGAGTTCTATCTATATCAATCAAAAAAAATCTATGTACAGGGTTTGAAGAAAAGATTTTCTGAAAATCCTGGTTTCCAGAAAACCTAGAGATCTTGAAATTCTTTTTGAAAAAATTTTTCTATCAAACCAATAAACAACCTGTACAGTTTTGCACAAAATGAGATGTCAACGAAGTTTCCATGAGGTTCCATTAAAAAATACAAAGCGTATCAAAAATTTAGCATTGAGTGAAAACATCTCAAAGAAATTATTCCAATAATTGTATAAAGCCTAGAACTCAGTCTTTTAATATGATCAAAAGTTGGTTGACATCTTGGGTTTTGCAGAACTATAAGGGCTGTCGACTGATGTGGTCGAGAAATTTTCAAAAATCCATTTCAATATGCTTAAGTTTTCTCAAAAATCAGGGTTTTGAAAAATTTATAACTCGACCCCAGAGGCTGAGACAACCGAACCAACTTAGGGTTATTCTAGCCTAGACATCTGCTACGTGTGGGCAAAATATCGGCTCAAAAGCGATTAATCACCTCGAGAGATTCCCTAGTCAATAAAAGATCTTAAATATTTTCCATTAATCAAAATTCTATGTGTATTTTTTGATTCATGTTTACTTTCATTTGTAAGAATACGCTATTCTCAATACAATTCATTATCTATTTCACGTGATCTGATAATTGAACGGTTATTAGAATGCAGTGAGAGAACATCAATACAATGTTTAAACATCAAAAAGAACATCGTGATACTTCCTCGCTATTGTGCGCTCGTTTCCATTCTCCATTTGGCTTTCCTGAATTATTAAATTATTTAACACGTGAAGTACTACGTGCACAACCAGAAAACATTTATGAATTCTGTTTGACAACATGTCAACAATTGATAAATGAACGCGATAATGCTATATTACCATCGGAACTAGTAAAATTAGATTTACATTCAGGATATATTGATGATCATGATCCGTGTAATAGTAACGTGAAAACAACAAGATCGAAGAGAGAACAATTTCAGAAAATAGCGAAACATGGTTGTCATGATCAAGAACAAGACCTGATTACACACAAATTTATTCAACAACTTATACATGATTCTCTACCCGAACCTGGAGACATTTGTTTAAATGAATATAATGAACAAAAAACGAATTTTTTTGGAACATGTGACGATGATCAAGAAGATTGCTATGATAATCTAATAATTTCTGATCATGATAAGATAAATGAATTTCCAACAGCAACAGTAATGGTCAACGTCAACAATGGCGATTGAAACACTCTGTGTGGTACATAGTATCTTACAAGAAAAAATATTTGAAAATTTGATCTGAAATTCTATTTGGTAAATTCAAAAGACTAGGCCATCTTTTCTTAAATTTTAGGTATTATAAACGTTTAAATAGTTTGTCAGTCAAAACGTATACCATATTATAATTTTATACTAATAAATTCGTTTTGTATCATTGGCCACAAGATTCGAACAGTTATCAAACAGATATGAGCTAATTGGGTTGACGATCATTTCATACTTAAACAGTGGCGACTGTGCTAAATATGTGTCTATGTAGTGAAGAAGGGAGCAGAATCTACAATTGTTAGACTTGCCACCTGTTAAAAATACATCTGTATCTTCCCACACAAGTGAATTAATACAATTATTTACAAGTAATTATTTCCCGTCTATGTACTACTTTTCTCTGTCATCATCTTCCCATGAGGTAGTATTTTTTGAAAATATTTACAAAAAATCTGTCTTTGTTATATTATTTTTGTAATTTCAAAAATTGTATTATATAATGGTTTTTTATTTAAAAGAGGACAATTTGGATTAAAAATATCTTTGGGCAGTGTATATATAGGCGTCTACTACGAGCAAGAATTCTCATTTCAGGTAAATGATAGAGAGCTCGGACTGTTTTTGTTTTGCAATAAACACCTATGGCTAGGAGTGGAGAGTCTAATTTTTGAATTTCTTATTTACTGATTTCTGGTGCTTAATAAAACTTTAAAGTCCGAAGAATCCTTGGCAGCTTTCTTAGAATTTCTCATTCCTATAAAAAAAATAGAAGCACAATTTAAAAATCGGACTCTGTCAACTCCTAGCTATAGATGTTATCTACAAATCAACAAAAAAAACTTTCTCTGACGCGTATTGTTGCTGAGAATTTTTGTGTAGAGCGAAAGTCCTGAAACTAAAAAACAATCTTGAGAAAAAAGAAAAATAAGTTTTGATTCTGTTAAATGCGTTTTATTTAAAAACTGTTTGAGTGTTAAACAATTTTTTAATACTTTGCTATAGGTTATCGATCATGGCAGATCTAATGAACATGTGCAGCACGTGTGTGCACTTATGCAATACAAGTGCAAAACAGCGGAGAGGTGTGTGTGTGTCTTAAAAACGTTTTTTATTGAGAAAGCCTATCTATCTTCAGTCAAAAGTTATTTGAAAAACAGTCGATGTTACTGCTTTATTGGACGCATAGTGTTTTAGGGTAGATTTCTCTCACCGATGAAAAAGTGTGTAAATTAAATATATGATAGAAATTTTTTTTTCAATCTGTGTTGCTTGTTTGAATATAAAACTATTGTTTTATGGTATGAGTAACAGATGTTTGGATTCTCTAGTATAAAATCGTATGTGTGATGAAATTAGACAAAATTCAAATATTGATTATTGAAATTGAAAATGAATAAATTTTTTTTGACTGTGTATTATTTGTCACTATTCACTCTGGTGTCATGTAGTGAGACTCGTCAAATATCCGAGACAATTCATGTTCAAGATAGTAGATCATCTCGATATGCATATGGAAGACTAGCCGAACAATATTATTGCAAATATCAAAATCCTTATGTATATGCGTTAAATGACAGATTGGATATATTTTCAAAAATTCCCGGTCTTACTTCTACGTTTACTCTTCCTCAACCAACATTGTATAAAATAACGTTTCAAGCCAATTGTAAAGTGGCTGTACCAGGACGATTGTTTTTGAGAATAATGGTTAATGATCAACTAATTATCGGTGATCGTCTTATACCCAATACATCTGATCGACATTTAAATCAAACCATATTAGGTACAACACTAACTGAAGTCGATTGTCGTGGTGGATGTTTTCAGTATAGTGGGATTGATCGAGTAGAATGGGGATGGACAGAGTATGCATGTTCAAAAACAGAAATTATTTATTTGAAGCCCGGTGTACATGTATTTGATGTTGGTGTACGAATAAATGAAAGAGAATTTGAGATTATTGGAGGAATTTTACAGTTTGAATTAATTCAATATGAACAAAATTCAAATATTGGAATTCCACTGTCGGATATAAATTTTAACAACCATAATCAGTAGTTATTGTTTGAGAATAAAAATGCAATTATTTCTAAAAATAAAAAATAAAATTATTGTTTAAGGTAGTATTTTGGAATATGAAGTTCTTTTTTTTCCAGAAAAAGATACTTTCGATATAACACATTGTGATCAACCATTTGAAAATTATTTATTTCTCGACCAGTATACAATATAAAAGACAATAATTATATTAGAAAAAATAGAAAGATGTTGGTAATTACGTACATGTACTTAACATTAAATTAAGATGTTAAATGCATGTAAGTAATTACTAGCATCTTTCTTTTCTAGGTTATTCATGATTTAGAATTCTCGTTAAGTAATCTTAATTTCTAAAATAATTATATATTTAGAACAAGGTGGACGAAGTTTTTTTGACTTGCGTATCATAAACGTGTATTTGAAACGAGTATAACGAATGTCAGCAAGAATTATTTGCTAAATATATCTTGGTTTATAAAAGAAAACGTCTGCTACCTAAAATAACCGACTAGTTTGAAGCAAACGCCATTTACTATCTTTTCCAATCTAAAAAGAAATGAACAAGCTCTCAAACGAAAACGAACGTAAAAGATCATTATTAGCATGTAGATATGACTTTAGATAATTCTAATCATGAACAGTGAGAAAAAAGTTGACATCAATAAAAGACCACCCTCAACGTTTTGAGTCAGCGGACAAAATAAAATACCATCTGATCTTCTATTACGAGGAGGGGTGTAACGGCCGTTCAACCACTTCTTACTATTTTTTGTCTTCTATGCATTCTTAATTTAGTTAAGAATAAACTAGTCATAAGTTGCATAGAAACTCGAATTTAAAAGACACATTATCTTCGTGCCTTTTTAGAATATACAAAAGGATATAGTTTAGTTTAGAATTTTTCTTTTGGTGTTAAGTTCTATCTATTTTAAATTCTAAATTCGTTTCTGGACTCTTGTGTTCTTTTCTGTTGTCCAAACGTCCGCCAATTCACGTCACCACAAGCAATCCTCTACCAATATTATTTTCTCATCGTCAACATCAATACTATTTACAAACAACGAACTATTGACTTATATTTCTACTTACCGCATTGTTCAACAAACGATTTGTTTTCTTTTTTTATATAATAACAGTAATAATTCATAATCATATATTGTTGTCAGGATCAAGAACTGGGCTGCTTTGTAGTGAAAGTTGAATTCGGGCACAACTGAGCGCACTACAAGGGGTTTAGTTGAATACGTATTTTTAACAAAGTTTTTAACACCATCGGCTTGATTAGCTATTCTTTTGTTCTTATACGAGCAGCTTATGTCAGTTCTATTCTCTATCAATTCTGTTATGAAAATGGTCAATTATAATGAAAGGAGGTTTAATTCTGCTTAACTTGATGATTTGTCCAACTAACAGTCCCCTTTTTTCGCTTATTTTCAAAACATTATTGCAATAAAGCTACAGACCAATCTAAAATTGCAACTAGATAATTAAGTAGATTAAACATTTCTGTATAAAATGAAAATGTCTGGGCTCTGAACGTTGATTCGTTACAGTACAAAATTGTAGAAAAAATAAGCGTAATTACAGTTTTTGTCAGTATTATCTGCTAAAAGTTTGTGAGAGAGGAAAGCTGAAGTAGCCGCCGTGTATGCCTCGAAAAGCTCTATTTTCTATCTATAATTTAAATAATTTGCAGTTAGAATTGAGGGCGCAAGAATTTCATTATTTTTCATCAATAATTTGAGGCTTTCAATAAAACAAATAAAGCTTAGTCAAATTTGATCCATTCAGGTTGATTCTTTTAATTTTGAGAACAAATAATTAGTCGTTATGATCGGACCTCTAAGCTTTGGAAAACAAATTTGGTTTGTTCCACCGCTCAAGAAAAAAGATAACAACTTTTGCTACTGTCACTTGATTGCTGAAAAGTTAATCGTAGCGTCGGATATTTAGATTCAAACGATTTTCGCTCTACACGACGAGAAAGAGCGTATTTGAAACTACACCAAAATATACTGAAACCGTGTTTTAATGCTTGTGAAATCATTCAAAAAAATTTCGCTCACATTTTCTAATGGCATTTTGCACCTTCGGATTTTGCAATAAAGCAGTCAATACATTTTTTGTAGAGAATTCAACGGGGAATCTTTTGGTAAAAAAGCTAACTCAATCAACTGTAAGAAGGAGGAGAAATTTAGAAAATATTAACGGCATAATTCTTTATGGGCCACCATGCATTCAATTCTATTGTCCATTCTGCTATGGGAATGGTCAACCCGTACACGAAAATTCATATATAAAACCGGTCCAAAATACGGGTCACACCGGTTCATTTTCAAGCAGGAAAACCGGCGGTTTGCGACACAATAACCGCTCTCTCGTATAAAAACCGCGGGTGTCTTTTTTCATTTTTCTGAATCGCTGCGGGTATAACAGCGGTTCTCGCCGGTTATTTTTTGTTAAAAATCGCAGAGATCGGGGCGTGCTCAACTGAATAAAATCGCTCCCTTTTCGATCGAATCGCAGCTAAAGGCGGTTATTTTTCTTGAAAACTGCGGTTCACCGAGGTTAGAAACAACTGCAGTCCGCTAATATCGACGGTTATTTGTCCGAAAGGG